GCCCCCCTGGGCAGCGGCGTGCAGGCCCGGGGGCGCTGGGAGCTTCCGAAGCGCCAGGGCGGCCGGTGGCGGTCGCCTTTCTATCCCCTGAGCTGCACCCCGGTTTACATGGGGTTTGGTTCTCCCCCCTTCCCCCATCCCAGTTCTTTTTGGTCTGGTTTGGTCTGTAAACAAGTACGTGTGCGTCAGTTTTTTGTGTGATCAGATTAGTACGAGAGTGGATTAAAATATTCTGCTGACAGGGAGATGGTGTAACCGAACAAATAAAAGACTTGCTCAGACTGAACAATGCCGGCGTAATTGCTTCTGGCATATAATAGAAAAGTTTGCAAGGTCTTACAATAGACTGCAGTAACTAAAAAGGTGCATCTGTTGTCCTTACTTTGGGTACTTAAACTTCTGAAAATTTGACTTCGGCTTCTGAAACGTATGGCAGCTTTATGGTATTAGTAGTATGTGCAGGGGCGTTGGGAATAAGGTGGCAGTCTCCTTTCTGTAAAGCACCCGTGGAGCAGAAAGGAAGCTGTGAGCCTTAATTCAGACCATTCAGCCCCTGTGGAGGAACACGTGGACCTCACTGGGCAGGCTGCAGGAGGCTACTGAATGGCACTTGAGTATTCTAATGCATCTAATTTAGATTGCTTAGTGTTACTATTCTTCATGGGAGAGGTTGGACTGAAATGGGAAAAAGTACACAGATGTGGAGAAGCTCCAAGGTTCAAAAATGCACTAACTGGACTCTATGATCTTAAAGGTCTTTTCCAACCTAAACGATTCTAAGTTATTAGAAACATAATGTGCCTGCTGGGTGTAGTAAATATACAGGTATAGCCTGGAGGCAAGAGGTAGGAAGAATAGGGTTTTTTGATAAAACCATACAGAAACTTGTTCTCGTTTTCTGTTTATCACATGTATAGTAACACATAAAGTGTGGGTGGTAAAGCTCCTGTAAGAATGTGTACTACTGGTGCACAAGTAGTGCTATGGGTGAGTTCAATTAAAAAAAAAAAATCCAGTAGAAGAATAGTCTGTTTATGAAATGCATAAGTTTTATACTGTTAGGTTTTTATAGGGAAGAATGGTGAAATTACTAATCCAATTAGGTTCTAATAAATAATAAGGGTAAAATCAAGGAAGCAAAGCTGTTTAAAAGTTCTTTCTCATTGGTTTTTTTGTTTTGGGCTACTTGCAAGTGATATGTATACACCAAGCACTGTAATAAAAGCACTGTTTTTTGCCCTGTATGTTTGGGGTGGGCGGGATGTGTTAAAGTGGAAAGAGCAAAAATCAAATCTGTCGCTTGCTTAATAGGTCTTGGGAACAACCTTTAGTAACAAGATCAGGCTGACTGCATTGCTTTCCTTTGTTGCAGGGCCTGCGGTTTGAGGTAGTTCCATCCTGGTTTAAGGAGACACTTGAAAAGTCATCTTTTGCAACCCCCTACGAGTATGCTGTGGAAACAGCAAAACAGAAAGCTCTTGAAGTAGCAAACAGAATGCATGTAGTAAGTTACCAGCTATTTCAGCAATGAGGTTCTTGTCTTCAAGTGATGTGTGTTGCTTGATTTGCATGTACTTCTTAGGTGGTGTCTTGAGTGCATTTTCCCCACTAAAGGGAAATGGAAGTTTGCTGTCATTTGTGAAGGATAGCTTCCTGAAATTAACTGACCTAATAAAGAAAAGAAGGGTTTATGCCTGCAGTTTGGGCTTTCTACAAACAGTGTATCTCTAGTCAGCAGCAGACCTGCTGTCGCTTGGGATATATACTTGCTAGTTCCTTCCAACAGTCAGGTGTGTGGCTGGATCTTCTCCTGACACAGGATCGCATCTGTTCATTCCAGGTATTTGTTGACTGTGGAGGCAGATTCTATAGAAAAACACACTGATGTGAATCCAGTGCTTTGCTGTAGCTTTCACTGAACAGTAGTTCAGTTGTGACAAGAGAATAGCTCAGAACTTGTGAGTATAGAGGTGCTGGAGGAAAGCAGAAAAAGACAACACACTTTGTTTTAAAGCACTATGTACAAAGAAATGGGCAATTTCATTTTAAGAAGGGAGAAACTGATGTGATTTCAGGTTCTGTAGTCAAGGCATCCATTTTGAATCCTAAATATTATCGAAACCAGTGGTACAACTTACACCATCAGTGGTATGTTTGACTTCTGCCCTTGGCTGTGATCACTGAGTTTGAGCACATAAGGCTGTTCTCTACCAGAACCTTTCAGAAGTCTAGCTGGTTAGATCCCACAAAATGGACCATAGTAAATTCTTAGTAATATAGCTCTGAAAGAGAGGAGTATGTGTGTCAAACGTATACTGGTGGCAGAAAAGGAATGTCGAATACTTTAAACCAGCAATGTTGCCAGATGTCACCATTCTTCAAAGCAAATATTGCATGATCTGCAATGTAAATCGTTATCCAGGTTTCCATTGACTTCTTTTCAGAGACTCGTATGACATTAGGAGAGTGGATTTTAAACCTGGCCTCGCTAACTGACTTGCATTGGGCTTTCATTGCAAAATGCTATGCTGGCAATAATGCTTGTTCAGTGGATTTCAGAATGCTGCTTTCATACAGGATTTTTTTAATGACAGCTTTAATTAGTCCTACTGTTTAAAGCACATCAACAGCCTTTCTATAGAAGAATCACCTCCCTATAAAGTTTTTAACATAATGATCACACTTACAGACAAGTTTCCTGTCATGCTCTGTTAAATAATAACTGTGGAACTCATGATTTGAAAGTAAATAAAAGCTCAGCTTGAAGAACAGATTACAGTTTAAAGCCAAGAAAAGGCTACAAGGAATCTTTGTGCCCCTACATCTCAATTACAGAATGGACTTTTGAGAGAGATAAGCGAAGTGTAGCTAAAGAAAGGGTTTTTTTTTTTTCAGCAAAACTTGGCTTGGAAAAATGATCCTAGAGGGCTTCAATGCTGTTCCCCCTGATTTCTGCACACTGAGCACTTCCTTTAAAGTAATTCTGTGTGCCGCCTTAAAGACCAGGTTGAACTTTGAAAATGCAGTTAGTTCTTTACTGGATTCATTTCTTCACCAGTAACATATTTGGGAAAAATCGTGACCTGAGAATGGTCTGCTCAAGCCTCCTGTTTTCCTCACTTTCATGGTGATATAAATGATTACTATTTTGTAAAAGGTGCAAAAGCAGAAACAGTGTCAGAAACGCCTTCCAGGTCAGTGTAGAGCCCTGCCTGCAAGCTAGCAAAATTACATAGTTTTTTTTACCCTAAGTTTTAAAAGGTTTTATTCTTTCTACCTCTTTTGAGAAATATCTTCTTTTTTTATGCCTTTGCAGAAACACCTGAGAACACCTGATGTTGTCATAGGAGCAGACACTATTGTGGTAAGAAGTCTTAAGTGGTTTAGCATTGCTTTAATTTATGACAAGTGTAGAAAATACTTGTATTTTTAGATTTAAAGTTAAAGCTTGGAAACTGTTTTCACTGAGAAGTTACACCTGTAACGTGATGTGCGTCTTGGGGTTTGTGGGTGTGCGTTTTAGTTGGGGTTTTTTTCCCAACAAGGCAATGTTTGGTATCTTGAGTGCTGGAAGCCTTGCTGGTCTTTTTGCAGAGACACTAGTATTGTGCAAGTATTGACTTGGATCCTCTAGTATGTAATGGGAATTCTGTTCTCAGGCAACTGTTGACTGTCAGGAATTATGTGAACTGTTCAATGTTATGCCTTGTAGTACTTTGTCTGTCATCCCCACAGAGACAGTGAACAGTTAAGGACAGAAGAAGTTGAATTGCCTTTTTGTTTGAGAGCTGCAGCCACGGAGGGTGGAGTGTTGCACTCAGTATGTTCTTGACACTAAATTACCTGTTCTGCCAAAGCATCTGTGCTTCTTGCTCTACTCTGTAGGCTCATGTTTGAAGCCCTGGCTGAAATAATGGTTTAAATGTAATTTCTGACCTCAGTTTCTGAAAAGCAAGAAAAAGCAGGACACTCGCTCTGTCTTTCTGTTTTAGACTGTGGATGAGCAGATCCTGGAGAAACCAGTTGATAAGCAAGATGCGTATAGGATGCTGTCAAGGTCTGTAGTTTTATGTAAGATTCCAAATGTGTATATTATGCTGTTTTAAAAGGAGCTGTATAGATCCCTTGATGTATATGAAGAACTCCACAGACACAAATTTTTCAATCATTTTTAAATAGTGTAAGCCAGTTCTGCCACTGAAAAATTCAGACCTGCTTTTATGTTACCTACAGGTGCTTGCTCTTGCCCCTTCATCTTAGGAAGCTGATCAGGGACTTAATGAACCATTTTTTTTTTCACTTGGATTTTGAGTTGCTTACCACAAGACTGTACGTATGCTTCAGCTGGTACAGGAAGGGGAGTAATGGAGAGAAATCACAATGGGAAAGAGGACAGAACCATCACAGAAGTGGCTTGAGGCTTGACATTTAATGGAAGAATATTGTATGCACAAGAAAGTACATGGTGATATGTGTCCATGGACAATTGCTTTAAATTCTGTAGTTTAACTGAAGAAGAAAAATCTACTTCCTTCAGTGTTCTCCATGGATGATGGGCTGGTGTTTTTTGAGGCTTCTGCTTTTTTCCTAAAGGATACTTTTCCCTGCAAGCTTAATGTTATTCTGTAGCACACTTTTTTTTTTTTTTTTTTTTAAAGAAACACCAACTAGGGATGGGATGAATCCACTTCACTTGGATTTTGAGTTGCTTACCACAAGACTGTACGTATGCTTCAGCTGGTACAGGAAGGGGAGTAATGGAGAGAAATCACAATGGGAAAGAGGACAGAACCATCACAGAAGTGGCTTGAGGCTTGACATTTAATGGAAGAATATTGTATGCACAAGAAAGTACATGGTGATATGTGTCCATGGACAATTGCTTTAAATTCTGTAGTTTAACTGAAGAAGAAAAATCTACTTCCTTCAGTGTTCTCCATGGATGATGGGCTGGTGTTTTTTGAGGCTTCTGCTTTTTTCCTAAAGGATACTTTTCCCTGCAAGCTTAATGTTATTCTGTAGCACACTTTTTTTTTTTTTTTTAAGAAACACCAACTAGAGATGTGATGAATCCACTAGTCACGCTTCTGATTTATGGGGGGAATACAGAAAGGCTGCGCTGCTTGTTTTACCACTTTACATTCTAACTTTGTCATTTCCTGAAGAGAGAATACAAGTGGCTTGGTAGTTTTTGGAGTTTTGCTCCATAAGTCTATTTTAGTCTTTTTTTTCATTGATGACTTAAGCTGGATTTTTGATCCTTTGTGACATGTTACTAACTTAAAAGTAGTAGTCTTAAATCAAAAGTGACAGCAGCATATGCTGTTAATAGGAGATTCCCAAAGGAGTAAGACTGGCAAGAGATTTCTCACAACTGTTTTTGCCTAAATTCATGCCAAGTGTGGTTAGTTCAAAAATAGTTTGTTATTTTCTTAACAGCGCTTAGTCTACTTCTAACACACACAAATGTTCAGGCTTTTTTTTAAGTTCAGTAGGTCAGTCTCTCAATCATAGATATGAAGTGCGCTTAAAATTTTTTTTTTTTAGAACTCGTCTTAATTTTGTTCTATATGAACAGGAAAAAATGCAGTCAAGATATATATTTACATGTATCATGGTGTCAGATTAAAATTTTCACTCACTGTTTCATCTTACAATTAATTATGTGGAATCTTGTGGGGGATAGTGGGAGTGTGCAATGCTTCTGATCACATCAAATAATAGCCTGGCTAATCTCTAGGAGACCATTCCTTAATGAGTCTCCAAAGATTCAAGTTCTCATGCTATTTATTATACTTCCATTGCTTACACGTTAGATTAATAAACTTCAAGCCCTCCAAGTTAATCGGCCACGGTGTGGCGCTCTGGAGCCACGACAAGGGAGAGCACCATGGCTCTGGGGTGGGTGAATATGGTCTCTCTTCCTCTGCACTCTGCATCTGTTACTCTGGCTTGCCCTGGGCTCCCTGGGGGTCAGTCTGGATTCAAGGAGTGCGTAAAGCTCTAGTTGCCTGTCGCTTATTCAGTCTTAAGTTGCATCACCTAGCTATTTATTGCCAGCTTTCAGTGAGGATATCTATAGTGGTAGTGTTTATGCCAACTGGGTTTTTGTTGTGTGTTTGAATTAGTTGCTTCTCTCTATGTACACAGAATAAGCTGATACCATGGACTACTGTTCCAAATTGTGGACGTGGGTACAAGTGAGATTTTGGAGATGTGAAATGACTGAATCTCTCGATAGTATTTTTTTGGTTTTCCAATGTCTTTTCTATAATTCAAATAAAATTGAAATAAAAAAAAAACCCAAAATGTATTTATTTAGGGTATATGTCAGAGCCATCAAGTGATATATTAATATATTGGTCTGTTTCTCAGGCTGTAGTAACATAATCATGTAGAATGTTTTTGCATGTGACAGATTTCTTAAAAATGTTGCTTAAATGCACATTTTTTCCCTGACAGGTTGAGTGGGAAAGAGCACAGTGTGTTCACAGGAGTGGCTATTATCCATTGCAGCAGTAAAGGTACATGTGTCATTTTATAAGACTCAGTATTTTCATTAAAAATTATTCTCATAAGGACTTGTATAAGAGAAGAAACAGGATGGAAATTTTTCATATACAGTCTGAATTTGCTTCCTGCTCAAGATGGGAATTACCTTATCAATATATAAACTAAAAACTCCCCACAAAAGCCAACTTTCTCTACTGTATTCAGTTTTCACACAGGAAGGAGGATGACAAAATGCAATAGACTTTAGAAATACTGATTCTGAAAGCTATGGGACTAATTAAAAGACCAGTGTAAATTGTGTGAATATTCTAAATGAAATTCAAGTAAGGCACCACAGACTGTGGGACTGAGCAGAATCGGATCCATATTAACTTTATTCCTGTGTTCTGTTTATACTAGCTGATGAATACAAGTGGTTGCTGGGTCTGTAGTTACTTTGTTTTTCAGTAAATAAGGGAAGCTTTAGAGCCCACTTTTAGGGGATGAGGAAAGTAATGGCTTAATGCCTCAGGCTGTTAATGAACTGTAGGAAGCAATATATCAATGTTCTTTATCAGATAATTTATATAGTAAGCAAGTGGTTTTCAAGAACTGTACCGTTAGTATAATTTGAGGAGTGTTTGCTTTGAGGGACTTCCTCTGATAATCATGTCAGTATTCTTTTAGCGGAACTTTTGCAAGGATCATTCCTCTGAAATTTCACTGGACGTAGTCTTTCTGTAGACAATTATTTACAACTTTTTAAATCTTTACTGGAATGGTTGCGCACAACTCTTGTAACAGAAATAGTGATTCAGTACTCTTACTAATATGCTCGTACAACAGAAACAGAGCTGATGCAAAAGAAATAAAACATGTTATCAAGGGGTTCTGTGAGCAATCCAGCACGAATAATAATGCCTTTCATTGTTTGCTCTAGGAAGACAGTGAAAGTGCGCACAACTGCAGTACTGATGCTGTCACAGCATGTCTCATTTGAAGTTTACAAATTTAAGCCATAAGTCATATTTAGTTGAATAAAAATACCATAAGTCTGCATATTCCCCAAGTGATGCAGTCAATGGACAAGTCTTCTAGAACACAGTTTTAGTTTGGTACTTAACAACAGCACTGTAATTACACACGTTACAGATGGAATTTTCATCTTGAGCTGATTGAGGTTTTTTATCGATAATGGAAGGAGTAGAGAAAACTAACAATCTGTGAAGTGCACACTTGTTTGTGCGAGGCTGTTTGCTTTTAAACATGTCTTGGAAAAGCCTCCATCTGCAATGTTACCAGATTCACAGTGTACTACACGCAACAGGGTCCACACCCAAGTGTGCAGTACTTCATTGCACCTCTGGCCTTCTGTCAACCACTTCTAGATACAGAAGTCTGAAATAATCTTGTTATTTCTTGAGAGATGATATGAAAATGACACTGATGGTTACTGATGGGACTGCTGGATACCTGAGTTTGCAGTACAGATACAGCTGCACATTCACATTTAAGCATTTGTAGCAGCTACATGTTTAACTACGATGTGTTGTTAAGAGTTCTTTGGCAACAGTCATAAAGTTAGAAGGGTGTTTGTAGTCTTTTTTGGTACTCAGTGCTGTGTGTGTATGCTGGATGTGTATGCTAGCTCTGCATTAGCATTGTTAGTTTAAGAGTGCATCCCACACAGGCAGAGCAACCTGTTAGCCCCAAGACAGGACTGCAGAGGTTGAAAAAGCAAGCTTTTACTTTTTTGGGGAAGTTATGAGTCCACTGTCCCTAAAGGGCGTTATTAGTCATTTCATACATCTATGTAGTAGCTTTACTTTTTCCCAAGCAAAAAGGTCAAATGAATATGAATGGAAACATCTTTTTTTTTGCTCTCTAAACTACATTTTCTGTTTCTAATTTGTTTCTGTAGATAATCAGCTAGAGACAGAAGTTACTGATTTCTATGAAGAGACTAAAGTAAAATTTTCTGACCTGTCTGAAGAGCTCTTGTGGGAGTACATTCATAGCGGGGAGCCAATGTAAGTAAGACCCTGAGGCTATCACACAGTACTTGAGAATAGGCCTTAGGGTACATTATTAGCCACTAGCATAAAACATTTTGTCCTGTGTTCTGTGAAATCTCGCTGTGTATACATGATAAATGATAGTATGGGTGATGCAAGGTGGATATTCTGTTCTTCTTGTCTAGAGCTATCATTCATCCAGGGAAAGTGAGTTACCTTTTTAGTACCCTAACAAATTTGAAAAGTGAACACTGTTGAAATACTCTGGATTAGACAAGCACTCATGCAATACACAATTAACTCTCTGTTAACAGAGGCATTCAGGGAGCGTGGATACCTGAGACAATGGATAGTTCTCATTATAAAACAGGTGAATAGAGTGGGTATTGGATAATCAGGTTATTGGAGAACTTTACTGAAAGAAGCTAGAACTTGGTTTATTTAGTTTATCAAAATCACACTGCTCCAATGCAAGAAACACCAACTTAATTATTACTCATTCTTGTGGCCAGCTTATACGTGTTCTTATGCCATAATTGTCTCTCAGCTTGTGTTTCCTCTACCTTTGCAATATATGTTACAGACAACATTGATTCCATAGAATAAATAGGATGAGAACAGAATGCCTAACTACTCCTAAGATGAAGTTCATGAAACTTTTTTTTTTAAACAAAGTACTTATTTGGAGACAACAAGGGAATGTTTGTGACCTTAGGGAATTTGCCTTTCCTTTGTGTTAGCTCAAGCTTAGTGAAGGCAAATCAGGCCATAGTTAGCACTATGAACTACATAGCTGGTGATCTGAGGTGAACTTTTGGCTCTGTAACTTCATTTCTGACTGTGTAAGAATATCAGTCATGGTGTTTTTTACAGTCATTTGTGCTATAAAACAATACAGTCATGTTTTACTGGGGAAAGAGGAAGCAGCGTAGACTTAAGAAATGACCATGGATTTTTAGGAAGAATGTCAGGTTGAAAAATGTTTTGGAATTTTCTGATTATTTCTTCTGGAAGAAAATACACTTCAGTAGGGCTGTGCTGAAGCAAAATGGCTCATGAGCAGCACTGGGTAATTCTGTTCATTCTGCTAAACAGGGCGTGTGACAGCAAGGGTTTCTCAGGGACCAAAGGTTCAGTGAATGTGTTTCATTACTTTCTGGAGTAGAAGCCAATCGATCTTCATTCATATAATCAAGAAGATAGGAAGCATTTGCTCTGGCCTTGGGAAGGAACTGATAAATACAATGTCCTATAAATTTTGCAAAACAGTAAGGAGAAGGTTCTCATGGAGTTATTTCTTTGGTTGGGTTTCTTGTCCCCTCCTTCATGGCCACCCATACCGGTTACACACTGATGTGCATACAGGTTTTTCTAAACACTATTGTAGTTCAAGTGACTATTTGTTTCTTTTTTTTTAAATGGTGACTTAATTTTGTGAAATTGTACAAGACTTAATGACCACATGAAAAATTAAAGAAAATTGACTCTTGCACTGTTGAGGATTGGACTGTGTTCTTTTTATAGGAAGGACAAAATTTACATTTAGTATTTAAAAGTCAGTCACTGGTGACACAGGAACTAATTCTAAAATAGCTGACTTAAAGTATGAACAAGGGAGGAGGGAAAAGCACTGTCTCAAGGCAGACTGTGATGAGGCTATAAAAACACTCAAAAAAATTTTGGCTGCAGAAGGATGCCTTTTCCCTTTCCGTTTTATTCCTGTTCCTCTTAACAGCCAAGGGTTTTCTTCCTGTTGTCAGGGTCTCTCTCTTCTTTTCTGGCTCTCCGTAGGAAGAGGGCTGGACCATAGTAATCCTGACTGGTTTGGGCTTGTGTAATGACTAGACTTAGTTTCTACCAGCCTCTTTTACCCAGCTTTTTATTTTGTAATCTTTCCCTTGTAAACAACTTCCTCTCTGCTCACAGTGTCCAGTCTGAATATCTCACGTGGCTTTTGGTATCTCTGCTCTGAATGGTGGCAGTGAAACCAAAGGACCTTACTCCACTGTGGGAAAGAGGTGATTACAGAGGCTGGAGCTCTGCACTTTCAGACTTAACTATGAAGTAATAAAATGTAGAATGCAAATGTCTTAACTTTCTCCCCTTGTATGATTTCTCTTAAGAGTTAGTTCCTTCAAAGCTATAGCAAATTTATTTCTTAGATTTTATGAATAACTACAGTCTTGCAGCACAAATAAGCTCACTGATAGCTTGAGGCTATCAGCTCTTAGAGCATAAGAGCAAAAATCTTCCAGGTGCAGGACTACAGAAGTAAGGGGAGCTATACTGTTCTTATACTTGAATTAACTTTGAATATTGTTGTTAGTCTATCATGTTGCCACCGTTGACTCCTCTGTATGAAATAATTTTTCTACATTCACCAGAACTTATTAGCAAATCTTTTTCTTGTACCTGCCTAACTCTGTTCCTTTGCAAGTTCCTTTGCAAATGGAAACGCATCTCTGACTGGTTTCATGGTGTGTGTATGCTGATCAGGCATCCAGCTATTGCCTCTCCCAAGAGGTACACAACCGAATTCTGCTTCTCCTTACTTCTGTCCTGCCAGTAATTTTTCTCTGCTCTACAAAACCACTGATTTCATATTTAAAGGAACTAAAGGTGGGAGTTGTCCAAGTTGTAGATATGTAAAGATAATTAAGCTTGGTACCCAATCAACTAACTAATATTTGATAGAGATGCAAGAAATTGGTGTACAGCTTCTAATGTATTTGAAACGTTTGCTTCAGTAAAGATGAATTTTGTCAGTGGTGTATCTGTGTCTTTCTGACTATTAGTGAAGCCCAGTCACTAGCTGAGGTGCACACTGTCTAGTGTGGCTGAAATTTGTGACTGTATGGGCCAAGGCATATGTGTAGCTGTCATGTTATTCATGTGTTCTTGCCTTTGGAAACCCCCTAAAACCCAACCAAGAATCTCCTTTCATCTGCAGGAGCAATAGTGCCTGTTAGTGCAACAGTGATTTACTTGATCATTGGCTCCACATTGGATAATTCAGATATTGTATACATGGATATACTATTATGTGGCATGACTAAAGTCGAAGTTCTACAGCTAATAAGGGAAATGTGCTCTTCACGAGTTACCTCTATTTTTTTCTCTTCCTTAACATTTTTTCCTTCCAATGTAGTGAGCATGGGTTTGACTGTTGTTTGTGTGTGTTTGGGGTTTTTTTTGGTTTTTTTTTTTGTTTTTAAATCAGTGGATGTTGCACACATTCCTACTATATTGTGTGGGGGCTGGCTGGCTGATTGTGGGGGTTTTTGTTTGTTTTTTAATCAGTGAATGTTGCCACATTTCCTTTGAAATCCTGTATCCCCTACAACAGTCAGTTACTGAAAAATGTTTTGGTTGCAGCAGTGATCTCATTGTCAAAAGGTCTTCAAAGTGATTGGTAATTTTTTTTGTTATAATGCAAATTAACTGCTGTGTATAATGTTGTAAATGAAGCCTTAAAGTTAGTGCTATGCTAATAAAAATAGCCCTTTGCAAAAGCCAGTCAGATTAGCCAGAGCTAGTTATGAGAGCTGTGTAAATACTGATACATCCTGGGTTTTAGCATGGAAGACACTTGTTGAAAAATCAATGGAACTGTTACTAACTGTATAGTTTCATGCTTTTGGACTAGAAGCTGTAGCAGAGAATCCTACTAGGATCCAATATCAGAATGTAAATTTCTGTATAAAAATGAACAAGATATGGCCAATTGTGTTAATTTCCTTGCTGGCAGTATGATACCACTACCTTTGGTCACAATGGTTTTTTTGCCAGTCTGTCAGCATATACCAGAATGACTTCATCCTACTGGACTGCTACTTCATTTAAAAATGAAAAGACTTACTGGTCATTAAGATTTATACCATCTAAATTAGGAATATTCTAATGTTATAAAAAAGGAATAATTTAAGCAATGACAAAGCTATATGGTGTTTAAAATGCAAGATTAAAGGAGAACCCCCGTTCCCTAGTTCATAGCAATTCAAAAATCCCATTTGCTGGGATACAGAGTCCTCTGTTTCTCCTAAACTGTCTGAAAGGGAATCCAGAAATAAGTTCTAAAAATGTGAAGAGCTGGTTCCGATCAAACCATAAGATGAAAAATCTACATCTTCTTTGTGTAGTAACCTTCTTTGACAAGTAGTTTGTGTAGTTCCACAGTATCTGAAGTTAACAGAGCTGAGATTGACCTTTGGTTTCAAAGATTGCTGTCTTAGGCTTTCAGATTCTGGTGTTATCATGTAGTAAGCATACCTCTAACTGCCTTGTTCCTTAAATGTGAACAGTAAAATTGTTGGGTCTATCGCAGCTTATCTGCCTGTATGCATTTCCATTCCACCCAGTGGAATTTGCATAATTACACGTAAAGACAAATTAGACTTCCAGGGTTACTGTCTGAAAATACATTCCTGTGCCAAATTGCTAGTACTACTGTGACATCTAAGAGCACAGTGTTGTGAACCACAACTCTACTTGTATCTCAGAAGGTTAGACAGGAATGGGATGGGACTAAATAGCATAGTAGTGGATTTTGGTTTTGAATAGATTATTCCTCCCCAAGAAAGTCCTGATCCTCATTTTAGATATTCCTATGACTGAGGTCCACAAGATGCATACTAAAATCATTTGAGTTCTAAGTTGTCTTACTCAGTGTGAGCTCCTTTTAGTGCTTACTTATTCCTAAAGGCCTTTCAGCCTCTTGTGGTCAGTATGCAGCTCGGTGACCCAGTGGCAATGTTGGTCTTGGTGACATTTGCTGTTACCTTTTTGGTAGCCAGGACTTGGAGGACACTGGGCAACATATGGCAACACAACCTGACTGCAGTCAACTGATGTACCTCCTGCTTAGGTGACTATGGTACTTGGCATAAAGACCTTAGGCTGCTCGCCCTTAGTAGAAGTACTGATCCATATATTTATCTTGTGATTTAGAAATTGAAGTCTTGAGCCTAACTAGTAGATTTAATCCACCTCTAACTTGAGTACACTAGTCTTTATTCTAGACTTTGCAGTGCTGGTGGATTATTTGTGTTCTATACTAACTTTACTCTTAACCTTAATTAGATATATATCGGTTTTACTTTCTCTCCCCCAGGGACAAGGCTGGTGGATATGGAATCCAGGCCCTCGGTGGAATGTTAGTTGAGTATGTCCATGGAGACTTCTTGAATGTGGTGGGATTTCCTCTGAATCACTTCTGCAAAAAGCTAGCAGAATTGTATTATCCGCCCCCAAAACAAAATGTACAACATAAGAAGTATGACTCTATCCCTTCCGTGGACACTTTTGAGAACCTAAGTGATGGAGAAAGTGAATCTTCAAATTTCACAGAGCACAAAGGTGCTAGTAAGTTGGACAGCAGTGGGATGTGTTCCTCAGGAGCTATTTACAATTCTGAAAACAGTTCCAGTGTCAGAACTGGCTTTATGGTACCTTTGGAAAATCAGAACGGAGTGTCGGGAAGTGCAGCAAAACTTCCATCTAAAATTCTAGAGCTGATGGATGGTTTTAGAGCTTCAAAGGTAAGGGGAAAAAATAAAACTACTCATTACATTGCTCACTGATAAGATTATTTCATTGGACTTCAATATAAAGCAGGTAATATGAAATATGTAAGCTGGGGAAAGAATGTATTAATAATTAGTATAAAAGGACCACTGAAGTACCAGACAGTCTAAGATAGCTGAAACTTCTGGTGCAGTGCAAACATTGGGGGTTTTTTTGGTATTTGCTTGTATCTATTCTATGCAATTTCAGTTACCCATTTGATAAAAATTTTCTTCTTGAGAGGAAAAAAAGTTTGATTATATATATTTATATATATATATATATATGTATTTTTACTGATCACGAGCACAACCAAGCAGGAAGTTACCTTTATATACTCTGCAAAGAAAGCATTTCATATGGTTAATTTACCTGATGTAAAACTGTGGCAAGAATTGTATATATTATATTTCCTTTCTAACTTTTAATGCTTAGCATTAGAATTCTATGGAAGATCTTAATTTTTTTAATTCTCTGTTAAGGAGATTATTTTTTTATACCCTGCTTCATGTTCCAGGTTTAACTGATAATCTCCATGCAGTATCTGATGGAGACATACACATAACATCTTACAAACAGAAGGTCACATGCTTTGTGTAGCAGCTTAGTGTGATGGGAAATGAGTACCTGAGCATTTTAAGTGCTGCCAAGTTTTCTATTCACAGCACCAGTGTAGTGAGGATGGTAGTGATAGTGAAGAAGGTGAAAGAGGAATGAACACAAATCACTCTAATAGATCGCTGATCTCCATAGAGTCATTCATGTTTTAGGAAGAGGTGAAAAAACTAATAAAGTGACAGTGAAAGGACAAAGCTGGAACTAAAGATAAAACAAATTTGAGAGGGGGGTGGAGGGAAGCACTCAAGACAGTGGACAATGGTTTTGCTGAAAGAGCGGGAAGTTGTACTTGGATCTGAAGGAAAACCATAGTGTGGTCACTGTAGGTCTGTGGGCGTGCTGCTTGCAGGCATGCAAAGCAGTATTGACAGATTTGGAATAAAGCAGCTTTGAGACTACTGCGTTTGAACTTCCTTGTGTATCCATAGGGAGTGAGTTTTGATGTATTTGAATGGGTGAGACAATGCTTAGCATTTCTTCAATTTAAGAAAAAAAAATATGGAGGACTATCAGCATTTTGTTTCACATTATGGACACTGTTTACAGTGATATGATGCTGAATTGGGTTTTGTGCAATGAAAGATGGTAGAGGCTGTAAATAGAAGCAGAAGCTTTCCTTTCCCACTAAACCAGTGTAAAGTCATAGTGTGAAGTACTGAGTTTCATGTTGAACTAGTGGGAATTTTTTTTCCTTAGGGCTTGGATCTTTGTAAAATTAATTACCAGTTACAATGAATGCTTCCTGTGATCTGACAAAACTCATCTCTCCACTTGTAGAATAGGGATAAGAGCACAAAAGCTCTCAAGTTCTATTTCATTTTGATCCTTGAATGTTGTTTCAAGGACTTCATAAAGTAGAGTGAAATCTCCTGCAGGCAAAGATGTTGCCACCTGTTTTACTCTGAACAGCTGCTGTTGCAGAACAGGAAAGGATCAGGGTTAAATCATACTTTCTCAAACTAACAATGTGTTATGAATTTCTGAATTCACATAGTCTGATCCATACTCGAGACCTTTGGGGATTTTTCTTCTTTGATTCTGCCCCTCCCTTGCACTGAGAATTACAGAATGGTAGAAAGCCATTTGGGTCAGACAAGGTTTTGACCCTACCTTCTCACCTTCTCTTTCCTGTTCTTATAGTTTCCAGGTGGTATCAGTCCAAAGATTGGGCAGGTCTTGGAAGCCAAATGGTTGTAGACTAGATGTAATTGGCTCAGTATCATGAAAGCCTGGATTATAATAAATCCCAGCTATACGTTCTTATTAGAATAACAGAGGAAATGGTAAAAAGATGAAGATGATAAAGTATATATACACACAGTACCAGACCTTCCTCTCAAAGTTAATCTCTTTCTCCATTTGATTTTTATTAAACAGAATGTCATTTTTTTTTCCTTGACTGCCTTTGATTTTTGAGTATGTTACAGTTGCCTGCATTTGCAAAGAAATGGATTCTGTGATTGCTGTGTTCTTCCACGCTTGTGCTTACATAAGTTACTTGGGTTTATGTGTTTTAACTGTTTCAGAATACTGAAACTGCAGAATTGCAAATTAATTTCAAATGGAGGGGTATATATTATCACGTATCCTTAACTTTCCTGTCTGGTTTGGTTAGCATATCTGTACAAGTTCTGTTAAGTTTTTCAACTTAGACAGTTGCATTGTCCATGGGTTTTTCCTTCACCATCAGGCATTAGCTGTTCTCCCTTCTTCATTACATATGTACATGTCCTGTTAAGGTATTTTTTTTTTCCTTAATTTTTATTAAACAAAGACCAATATTATAGCAACTGAGGCTGTTAGCTCCACTAAGGCAGTGTTTCCAGTTCCTTATATTTTGGGTAAATCAAATTTAATTTTGGCATTGGTTCAGATGCTTAAGAATGTTTGACCTTATGAAACAAGCTTATAGATGGGGATATGCTAAATATCTGAATAAAGAGGTGGCCTTCGTATGAAATGTGTAGGCTGTGTTCCAGAATATTTTGAGTTCCCTTCTGTCCCAAACACCTCCTTTTAAAAATTCTGTTACTTGGCTAAGATAGTGAAACCCTCTGAGAGGAAAGGAAAGGTATAGCAATTTTTAGGAGTTTTGTTAAACTGTGTTGCGAAAGGTGTAGTTCTCTTGCGTCTTGATTTTAAACACAGCATGTTAACAATTTTTTTCTTACATGTAGGCTCTGTTTGTAGCCTCTAAGCTGAAGATGTTTGATCATCTGAAAGATAAAGGTCCACTGAAGGCTGTGGATATTGCAAATGAGGTTGGAACCTCTGTGTGTGGAACAGAAAGACTCCTTGATGCATGTGCTGCCCTTGGATTACTGGAAAAAACACTACAGGGTGACTTGATTTCTTCCCCCTGCCCCCCAACTGCATATAGTACTTAAAGACATGCAGGACTGGAAGAGATGCTCTGAAGGTCACAGGGTCTGACTTGATACTCTAACTTGGATTTGGGGGAAAGGGGAATGGGTTGTTGCTTCTTTGCTTTCATTAATATCTGGAATTGTTTCATTTAGGAGCAGGCTTTATCTAATGAACACATCCAGGTCTCCTTTGAGGAATCCTTAGATTGCTTTTGCTCTCTGGACATAGTACTGACCAGATTTCTAAGAAAAAGTTGCATGAGCAGTCCGAGGGAGCAGTTAACAGCTCACATGTATCAGCTGCACTTGAGTCACAACAACCCCATGCAATGCTACAGGCTTGGGGAAGAGTGACTGGAAAGCTGCCTGGTGGAAAAGGACCTGGGGTTGTTGGTCAACAGCCAGCTGAATATGAGCCAGCAGCGTGGCCAGGAAGGCCAACAGCATCCTGGCTTGTATCAGAAATAGTGTGGCCAGCAGGAGTAGGGAAGTCATCCTTCCCCTGTACTGGGCACTTGACAAGGCTGCACCATGAATACTGTGTTCAGTTTTGGGCCCCTTGCTTCAGGAAAGATGTTGTGTTGCTGGAGCATGTCCAGAGGAGAGCAACAAAGCCGGTGAGGGGTCTGGAGCACAAGTCTTATGAGGAATGGCTGAGGGACCTGGGGTTGTTTTAGTCTGGGAGACCTTATCACTCTCTACAACTGCCTGACAGGAGGCCGGAGCGGGGGGGGTGGTTGG